TCTGGCTCTGTCATTCAATAATGTTTTTCATTCCTTTTAAAAGAATATTTTTTATTACAAAAATGTCACACATAGAAAAGTAGAAAGAATAATGAACCTCCATATACTCATTACCTGGATTTGGTAACTTGTTAACTTGTTTCCATGTTGTCATATCTGTTTTATCTAATTTTTGCTGAAGTTTTTAAAGTAAATTATGGAAATTAAGACATTTTATCTTAAGTACTTCAGTATACATCTCTAAAAAATAGGGATTTTTTTTCATACGATCACAATGCCATTATCACATATTTATGATATCTTTTACTCTAAGTTTTAAATTTTTATTTAGTCTAAACTGTCAATGTTCTCTTTTTTGTTTTGCACTGCCATCTGTTTTAGGAAGTCTTTCCCTATGCAAAGCCTATAAAAACACTTCCCTGTATTGTCATCTGTAACTTTCATAGTGTTATTTTTTACATTTAGACCCTTATTCCACCTGGAATGTTCTCTGTGTGTATATGTGAGATGATCTCACCATTTACTGGATATTTAGGTATTCATTCTTTACTGGCATTTTAAAATATTATCCTAAATATATTAAATTTCCTTGAATATGGCAACCTATCATCTCGTTTCCTTGCCTAATCCTCAAATCACTTCCCATTTTCCTTAGAATAAGATTCGAATTCCTTGCCCTGGCCTAAAAGGCCACAGCCTGCCGCTGAAACTCATCTGACTGCCCTCTGAACTGCGCTCCAGCCACACAGGACTCACTCTCTCCAGACACTTCAAGCTCACTCCAAGCTAACTTTGCACATGCTGTTCCCTCTGCCTGGATGCTCTAGCCTTTGTGTGGCTGGCTCTTGTGATCCCTTCAGTTTTCAGTTCAAATGACATTTCTTCAGCATCTTCCTCAGACCACCCAGACCACAACGCCCACCCCAGGTACAATCACATCATCCTTTACTATTCCAGAACACTTCTGTTTGAAATGACCTTGTCTTTGTCACCCCTCACTTTCAGGTCTAGTTGATTGCTGTAGCCCCTGCATGCTCAGTCACAGCCTGGGAACGAATACAGTGCTGAGTCAAAGAAGGTGTGTGTGTGTGTTAGAGTCTCACTCTGCTGCCCAGGCTGGAGTGCAATGGCATGATCATGGCTCACTGTAGCCTCAACCTTCTGGGTTCAGGTGATCCTTCCATCTCAGCCTCCCAAGTGACTGGGACTGTAGACACACACCACCATGCCTGGCTAACTTTTAAAATTTATTCATTGTAGAGAGGAGGTATCACCATTTTGCCCAGACTGGTCTTGAACTCCTGGACTCAGGTAATCCTCTTGCCTCGGCCTCCCAAAGTGCTGGGATTACAGGCGTGAGCCACTGTGTCTGGCCAAGATATGCTTTTACAATTTTGGTAGAGGTTGCCGAATTGTCTTGAGAAAAACCGTACCAATTGACCTTCCCACTGATAGCCAATCAGAGCCCTGGTCTCTTTGTACCCTGGCCAGCACTAGATTCCTTCCAACTTTTTACTGCCTTCCAAAATACAAAACTCAAGAAACAGAAACAAACAAAAAAACCAAAAAAGTGCCTATTTGGTGTGCAACATTGTAGTTCCTTACGTCTGAGTGTTGTGCACAATACCATGCTTATAAGCCACTTTATATATATATATATTTTCCTAACTACCTGTTCATCGTCCTTTGTCCATTTTTCTATTTGGTTGTTTTTCTAATGTTTTGTAAAAATTCTGTTTGTTGAAAAAAAGGTCTCTCTGTGAGGTGTGCTCCAAGTATTTTTCCTAGTTTTGATCTTGTTTATGGTGAGGCAGACATTTTCATCAAAGTTTCCCTTTATAATTTTTAGGTTTTTTACTAGTCAGAAAATCTTTCCTATTCCAAGATATCTAGGTAGCTCCATATATGTGTTTATATCATGCAGGTTTCATCCTAGCATTTTTGTGATTTTATTTTTTTACTTTGAAATCTTTAATCCATCTGGCATTCATTTGGGTATGAGAAGTGAGGTAAGAATCCAGCCTTTTTCTCTCCCTTCCCCAGTGTGGGGAGCCAATGACTCTGAGACCACTTGCTAAAAACCCTACCTTTCCCTTTTGAATCTGAAATACTACCTTCACCGTACTCCATTTCCAAACGCATTTTACATCTATTTATGGACTACAGTCTTTTCCTTTGATTTGTCTATTTCTCTTTTGTTGCTGCTTTAATTACTATAGAGTTTTATTAGAGACTTGGCACACAGGGAATTTTTAAAAATTACTACAGAATTCAATATGTTTTTACTTTTGATAAGACTAGTTCTTTCTTTTCAATCTTCAGGCTATTCATGCATGTGTAGCTTTTAAAGAGAATTTGCATTATGGCTGCAAGGGTAAACAGAGGCAAAGGTAGGTATGGGTTGACCTAACAAAAACTTTTCGCAGTCATCCTAGAGAGAGACAGTGGGGGACTAACAGGGTGGGATGCACCATGTATCCCACTGACTTCCAAACTTCAGTCACGCCCAGGTATACCACTTTTATTTTATTTTATTTTTTGAGTTGAAGTCTCACTCTGTCACCCAGATTGGAGTGCAGTGGCCGCTCCCGGCCACCACAGCCTCGAC